ATGTGGAGAAAAAGGAACACTGCTGGTGGCAATGAAAACTAGTACAACCTCCTTGGAAAATAGTGTGGCAATTTCTAAATGAAGTAGGCATTGACCTTCCACATGACCCGACAATCTCCCTACTGGGAATATACCCAGAGGGACTCAAACCATTCAACAAAACAGAAACCTGCACACACATGTTTACAGCAGCACTGTTCACAAAAGCAAGAACATGGAATCAACTATGCTGCCCATTTAAAAAATGTGTTACATATACACGATGGAATATTATGTAGCCATAAAGAAGGACAAACATATGGATTTCTCAGCAATTTGGATGGATTTAGAGTCTATCGTACTCAGTGATCTATCACAGAAATAAAGGACAAAGTACTGCATGTTCTCATTCATATGTGGACCCTGAACATTTACCATAATACTATAAGAAAGAAAGAACCCTGACCCTTCTTTGCCAGCTTGTCTTCCTGTTCTAGATAGCTCTGCTTATAGATGTTCTTTGATAATTGTCACACAAGGCTTAAACTTTGTTAGAAATTGTAGATCAGGAAGAATTGGAGATCCTTGCTTCTCTAAATGAAGGCCTGCATCTGAATTAAGATGGGCCAGGAAGTCATTCTCATGCAATCAGCTGAGAAGTTTTCTCTGAAGGTTTAATCCTGATAGAGCCATGAGAAGCATTTTCGATTATGTACTTCCCTTTAAGCTATTCTTTATTTTCTAAATTTCTACAATGATCATGTATTATGATTACTATTATTATTATTATATGAGTTGAAGTCTCACTCTATCACTCAGGCTGGAGGGCAGTTGCACACTGATGGCCACCACAGCCTTGACCTGCTGGGCTCAGGTGATCCTTCTGCCTCAGCCTTCCAAGTAGCTAGAACTAGAGGAACACGCTACCAAGCCCAGCTAAGTTTTCTTTAATTTATTGTAGAGATGAGGTCTCACCAAGTTGTCCAAGCTGTTCTCAAACCCCTGGGCTCAGGTAATCCTCCCACCTCAGCCTCCCAAAGTTCTGGGATTACAGGCTTGAGCCATTGTGCCTGGCCAAGCATGTATTAATTTTAAGTAAATGTTCACAGACAAAATGTGAATAGATTCTCATGTTAAAACATTCAACTACACAAAGCCCTTCTCTTAAACTCCTACCTTCTCCTCTGCCATTCCAATCTCCTCTCCAGAAGTATGAATTTTAGTATGAATTCTTCTAGACCCACACTGTCCTGTATGGAAGTCATTACCCACATGTGGCCATTGAGCACTTGAAATAACCTAGTTGAAATGGGCTGTAAGCATAAAATATACCTCCGGTTTAAAGATTTAGTGTAAAAGGGATGTAAATATCTCATAACATTTTATATTAATTGTATGTTGAAATAACAAACTGTAGAGACAGTAAAAAGATCAGTGATTGACAGGGATGAGAGAGAGGAGGAAGAGATGAATAGGCACAGAGGATTTTCAGGGTACACTATATGGTACTATAATGATGGATACATTTGTCAAAATCCATAGAATGTACAACACTAAGAGCGAACACTCATGTAAACTATGGACTTTGGTGATAATGACATGTCAGCATGTATTCTGCAATTGTAACAAATGTACTGCTCTAGTGGAAGACATTGACAACAGGGAAGGCTATGTGTGGGTAGGGCTAGGGAGTTCATAGGAAACTCTGTACCTTTTGCTTAATTTTGCTGTGAATCTAAAATTATCTAAAAAATCCCTCC